TCAGCTCTTCAGCTCAAGGCGAGCGCTCTACCACTTGAGCTACAGCGCCACTTCCGGTTTTCTGGTGGTTTATTGGAGATAGGAGTCTCACGGTCTCTCCAGCCCGGGCTGGCTTTGAACCGCGATCCTCAGATCTCAGCCTCCTGAGTAGCGAGGATTACAGGCGTGAGCCACCAGCGCCCGGCTATCTTTCTTGCTCTTACATCGTGCTCCTAGAACCCTTGGATCCCTTCAAATCAAAGTATAAAATTGGAAAGAGGTAGCTGGGTGCCGGTGGCTCACAAATGTAATCTTAGCTACTCAGGAGGCTGAGATCTGAGGATCACGGTTCAAAGCCAGCCTGGGCAGGAAACTCGTGTGACTCTTATCTCTAATAAACCACTAGAAAACCGGAAGTGGCCCTATGGCTCAAGTGGTAGAGTGTTCACCTTGAGCTGAAGAGCACAGGGACAGTGCCCAAGCCCAGAGTTCAAGCCCCATGACCGACCAAAAAGAAAAAAATATATATATAATGTTATATATATATATATATATAACATTATGTATATATTATATATATCTATATCTATATATATAATTGGAAAGAGGTCCCCTGTGTGCTGTTTCTAAATTCTCTTCTTGCATTTTCTCTTAGACACCATCCTAGCAGACTCTTGCCCTTCCATCCACTGAAATGCTTCTGCTGAGCCATTCTTCTCACCAATACCCTCCACAGTGCTAAATCTACTGGTCAGTTCTGCGTCTTTCTATCATGCAATCGCCTACTCTTCTGTCTAGAAACATTTCCTATGTGAGTTCCAGGGCTCAATGATGCTCTGCTTTCCCACTTTATTACTTGTAATTTCTGCTCATTCTCCTTTGCTGGTCCACATCTGCATCGTCTCTAAACACGTGGCACCCCAGGATTCAATTCTCAGACTTCCTCTGTTTTCGATCAGCATTCATTCCTTGGATTATCTTATTCCTTCAAATTTCTATCGACAAGAAGTGGCACGATGGCTCTAGTGGTAGAGCACAAGCCTTGACCAAAAAGAATCTCAGGGACAGCGTCCAGACCCTGAGTTCAAGCCCCAGGACTGGCACCAAAAATAAATTTAAAAAGTAACCTTTGCAAATTTCTATCTGCAGCCTTAATTGTTCCCTTGGGATCTATACTTTTGTTTTTAGTTTACTTTTCCTAAATATTTCCTCCTAGATATTTAGTAGGTGTGTGTGTGTGTGTGTGTGTGTGTGTGTAGGGCTTGAACTCAGGGCCTGGGTGCTATCCCTTAGCTTTTTTGTTCAAAGGGAATAACTATCAATATTGCAAACGCACATATCCTTTGGTCTAACAATTATCCTTTTAATTCTATCCTTCCTATAAATTTACACAGCTGTAAAATGATACATGGATAAAGTAATTCACAATAGCATTTTTTGCATCCCAGAAAACAGCCCAAAGATCCAACAATAGCAGAACAGTTAAAGAAATCATAGTCTATTCATACAATACCATCTTCCACAGTCACAAAAAGGACTAAGGAGAGTTCTGTGCCCTGATACAAGCTCTCAGACATGTTTCTCAGAGAAAAAGAATAGGACTGATGAATGTGTTTAGAATGTGAGAATAAAGAGAAAGGTACACAAATACTATACCAAGGCCAGATGTTGTAGGCATGCCTCTAATGCTAGCACTGGAAAGGCTGAAGCAGAAGGGTCACAGATTTGAGGCTAGCCTGGATTACACAGTAAGACTGTCTCAAAAAGTGGGGGCATACTTTCTATCTGTAGTTTCTTGAATGGGCACGGAGTATTTCAGGACCCATACATAAAAAACTGCAAACAATGGGTGCTTATCTTATTTGGAGGGAAATAAGTGGTAGATGGAAGCAGAGGAGGAAAGCATTTCCTGTCAGTCCTTTTAAAGATCTTGACTTTTTTGCATCTTGTGAATGTTTTCTCTGTTAAAAGGAGAATAAGGTACTGTTTATGTTCCCATATGGAACCATCTTGAAGGTATATTGTTGCCAAAAAAAAAAAAGGTAAAGTGCAAAAGAGTGTGTACAGCATACGCTACACCATTTCATTACTTATGCCTTTGATCCTTTGGATTTTTGTACTTCCCTACTTACAAGGAAATACTGTTAAAAATTGGTGGTGGGAGGGAGGGGAGAACGCATTTTCACAAGCATCATCCTGACAGCCTATGACTGAACCCTGCCAAGAATCCTCCTTGTCTCAGTGAAGTTTTCCAGTAGCTTCTCCTCCCTCAGAGAGGTCAAAACAGCAGTGAGCAGCTGAGACTTGTTCAAGCCAGTCCTCCCCCCTTTCTCTCCCCACTTTCTCTCCCCCCTCCTCCCACCTATCTTCTACATCACCCCTGGTCTTCCTAGCTCCTTTCCTGAGGGAACTTAGTTACCTCCCTGGTGGCTCACAGTTTCTCCCGTGGCTGACCCCAGCCCACCTCCACAGCAGTTGTAGGCCTTCCTCCCCCAGCCTGTACCTGTCAATAATGACTGGGTCTGAGGGCGTCTCATTCCGGTTACCACAGCTCTTCCGGTCACAGCACCGACTGAAGGAAAGATAAGGGGGGAGGGAGGGAGGTACAGAAAGAGACTGCTAGTGTGAAGGTGGCCAGAGCAGCCTGAGTTAGGGTATGGAAGTCCTGTCTCTGGATGAGAAAGGCCTGGGCACAGGGGCTCGCTCCCAGGGGTCTGGGGGACAAAGGCAGGGAGGGTCCTTGCAGACCTCCACAGCTTCCACAGTAGGCTCAGATTGTCCTCGGGAAAGGGCAGACCACGGGCAGAGTCTCTCTCACTGTTTGGGAAACACTGTCTATGCATAGGAAAGAGCTCAAATGATAAGTAGGCAACTCTTGAATAGCAAAGTATCCTGCCCATGTCTTCAGCACACCACACGACCACCACCCCAGGAGCCCCTCAGGCTCATCCTCTCTCCCCAAAGGGGGCTACCTTCCCGACCACAGGTTTCTAAACCTGGTCTCCTTCCACCTATCAGGAGCTGCCTCTGGGGGTCTGTGCTGTGTGACTGGCTGGACACCTGGAGCCCTTGTAGGAAAAGCCAGGCTTGGGGTCCTGGAGAAGAGGGAGCCAAGAGGGACCACTCCATCCTGACCCTGCCCTCCAGAGACCTGCTCTCCAGAGATCTGCCCTCAGGTGCCCTCCTCCCTGTAGCTCTAAGCTAATGGGGAGGGGGAGGGGCTTCTGGCTGGCTGGCTCAGGCCCTCCCTCCACCCGCCCCCTCAGTGAACCCTTCCCCAGAGCTTTATTATAGTTAAGCTTCCAGTAACCACAGGAGGCTTGTCTTACAAAAACACATAAACAGGCCAGGCTAATGGGGCCTCAAGGACCCTCTCCTCCATCAGCTCTGTGCCCAGGGATCTCACGCTTTCCTCACTCCTCCCCGCCCCAATCTTCTCCCAGGAGCAGGGGCAGGGCCCAGAGGAGGCTGCAGCCACATCTTCACAAAGGAACAAGGCAGGGGTGATGGGGCTCACCTGCACATGATCTCGTGGGTGAGGAGAACTCGGCACATTTCAGGGTTCTTGTCCTGCCCCTCGTAGATGATGGCCTGGGGGAGGGGGAAGTGCTCAGGGTGGAGGGGAGGAGGCTCCTCTCAGGTCTAGGTGGCACACAGAGGTGCACCTGTGTCTACATACCCCACACTGAGGGGAGGCCCTGCCCCCACAGAAGGTCATGCCCGCTGCCTTGTTCTGGAAGAGCCCAGGAGTGCAAAGCAGGAGTTTGGAGCCTGATTGCCCAGAAAGAGGAGAACTCCCTTCCCCCAAACAAGGAACACCACCAAGGTGGCAACACAGCAGGAGGTCTGCAGTTGAGTCTGTCTGCAAGTAGCTGTTTCTAGGCTTGGGGCCTGTATGGATTCCACACCATTAGGATCAAGGCCAGTGGGGCTGATAGGCTTCTCTCCCCACATGGTATCATGCTCCTCCTTCCGCTAGCATCCTCTGTGCTGATCCTAGTGAGCCTCTGTCTCTGTCACCAGTGTATGTCTAATCAAATCCAAGGGCCATACAACCCCTTCTTCCTGCCTCCCCTTCAGCTCCCAGCCCAGGCCTGTCACGTCCTTGGACTGTTGGATCCCCTACTCCCCAATCTCCTAGCCCCTCGCTCCCCTGAGCAAAAAAATGAGCTTCCAAAACTGCCTTCTCTGGGCCTCCCAATTTTCTTCCTCCATTTGTGGAATCCTTTTTACTCTGGGCTTCTTCCACACTCATGCTTCTACTTGTCCTGCCTTCCTTACCACCGTGACCTTGGGCTTTCTGGAGACGAAATATTTCTTCCCCTGCAGTGGGATTGGATGGAGGCTGCTAGAAGCCTCTGTCTGTTCAGGAATGCTGAAGTTGCTGCCTTATATTCCAGGACCACTGATCAGGCCCATTTCAACGCAGCACCTTCCTGATTAGCCTATGTAATGTTTCTGAAAAGCTAGAGACTTGGACAGGCCTTGCAGAATCCTTCAGAGCTAATGGAGGTTTCTGTTTCCAAGCTATTTATGCTGGCTCCTGAGCCTGCTTTCTGTGACTGTCACATCAGCCAGGTTCTGAGAGTCTACAATGTTAGCTCTTGGGCCAGCACCTAGATAGAGCCCTTTACTGAACCTATGTCTCTCCCCTACTGTGGTTTGCATTGGTAGCAAAGGGCCTTCACTTGAGAATTGTTCTCAGGGGATGGAAACTTCCTCTTCAGTACACACTCCCCTTAGCAGTGGCCCCTCACTGATAACTGACTCATCCAGAGTGTAAAAAACCTGGCCTCCTCACTTCACTGGCCAACTCTGGTTCCTTCTCTAGAGCTCCCTGAGGATCAGGCTGAGGCTGGAGTCTACCTTAGACTGCCTGTTTGCTGAGCATCTTCCTGCCCAGCTCCCCTGACTCTCCTTTCTACTAAGGAGTTCACTCTCCTATTGCTCCAATAAACTACATGCACCTAAATTCCTATCATAGGCTAGCATGCTTAAGGACACATGGCCTATGCTGGTGTCTTTTACAAATACTGTCTTTTTTAGACTAGCAGGCAAGAGTAACAACCCTACTGCAATAGCTGGAAGAGGTAGGCTAGGAGGGTAGAGAGGCACTGGGGAGTTAGGATAGGGGTGAGAATGTTCACTGGGAATGACAGGATATGCTTGAAAAGAGAGTGAAGTAGGCCTAAGCATCCACTGGGCTGGCTTACCTGCTTGGACATGGAGTCAATGAGACGCACATAGAGGTCTTGTTCTGTCCGAAGTCCTGGGGTGAGAAGGTGGAGAGATCTTGCTGTCAGGGCAGCACCTGCGCCTTCAGGTGATCAGTCCACCCCCACCCCTTCCCCAGCCCTGGTGAGGAGCATCCTGTGTGTCACAGTGCTGCAGTAGCCAGACATCTTCTGGGTCTAGGTCAAGAAGGGACAGCAGCCTTCACTTACCATTGTTATATACCAGCCGTAGGCGGTAATGGATTCCATTGTTTGTCTTTTCTGTCCCTGGCTCCTGTAGAGACAAGACAGGATGCCCAGGTGTTCAGAGACACTCCAACCTCCTTCACCCATACCCCTCTCTCTAACCCTGCTATCTTTCCCTCCCTTCTAGTCTTTCACCCACCCTTCACCATTCATGATCTATCCACTTATCTGCCCCAGTATGTGTGTGTGCAGGGGGGTGGGGGGAGGGATGTCCCTAAAGCCTCCCATTCTCATCCCAGTGCAGGTCCCAGAGGAGCCCATGAGCCTCTCACACGGTCCTTTTCCACGAAGTCGATGAAGGCTGTGCGTTCCACCTCCACGGGCTGCCCCTGCCGGTCATACATGGCCAGCACAAAGTGGAAGAAGTTGGATTTCCTGAGGTTGGAAGGGGGCTGCTTCTCAAAGTGTGCTCGTGCCAGGCCCACACCACTGCAGGAAGAAAGGAACTGGAAAACCACTGGAAGGATCTTTTACTGAGAAAGACCCCACAATTTCTGGCCAGCTAGGTGGGCTGGCGAGGCCTGGGCTCCAACATGTCATGAGTGTGGGCCAAAAAAAAAAAAATTGGATGGGATTTTTACCCTAACCAGGACCAACTCAGTTCCAGAAAGACCCTTCCGGCACTGGGGTCACCCCAACCCGCCCTTTGGGAACAAGGGCACAGCAGATGCTGTATGAAGGCATCCTGTCAGGCTGTACTGCCAGTTCCTTGGGTTCCACATTTTGAAATGCCAATTGTCAATTTTTTTTTTTTTTTGGTTGTGGGGCTTGAACTCTTGGCTTGGGCGCTATCCCTGCGCTCTTCAGCTCAAGGTGAGCGCTCTACCATTTGAGCCATAGCACCACTTCTGGTTTTCTAGTGGTTAACTGGAGATAAGAGTCTCATGGACTTTTCTGCCTGGGCTGGCTTTGAACCATGATCCTCAGATCTCAGCCTCCTCAGTAGCTAGGATTATAGGTGTGAGCCACCGGTGCCAGGCCAATTGTCAAAATTAAGTTATAAACCAATCCATCTTGGCCAGAGGTCCCTGAGATCACCTGTTACAGCATTAGAGAATAGCTGGGAGGTTCTGGAACATATTTCCCACTGAATGCCAGTTGATAGCTGAGGCTTGTGGCATTGTCTGGGAAGTGATGATGTCCATTAAACTATCAGAGATATTAAACTGGCTCCAGGTTGTAAGTCTGCCTGACTGAAACCCTAGACTATGGCTGAATATGTGGAACAGTCCCCCAGGTGTAGAGGACTTGCCTCCAACTTTGAGAAAGACAACCAAGGTTCCTTTGGCAAGAGAACTTTTCAGTCTGGCCCAAGGCTTTCTTCAATCAGAAACCATGCATGGAACCAAGGCCAGGGAAAAAACTGAAAGGGAACAAGGCTCCATGTACTAGGTCTCTACTGAACTGCAAGTAGTGTGTCATCTCTGGACACACACAACAAATTGGACCAGAGTTAAATGAGTTGAAGGGGAGGAAATTCACAGAGAGAAAGCCAGGACACAAGACAGAGTGGTAGAGGCCTTCCCCACTCCCCCTGAAAGATGTCACCAGGTTAGGGAAAAAAACAAAACAAAACAAAAAACAACTAGCTGGCACCTGTGGCTCACGCCTGTAATCCAAGATACTCTAGAGACTAAGATCTGAGGATCACAGTTGGAAGCCATCCCAGTCAGGAAAGTGCATGAGACTCATCTCTAATTAACCACCAAAAAGCCAGAAGTAGAAGTGTGGCTCAAGTTGGTAGAGCACTAGCCTTGAGTGGAAAAAGCTAAGGGACAGTATCCAAGACTTGAGTTCAAGCCCTAGTACAAGCGCGCGCGCGCGTGCGCTTACACACACACACACACACACACACACACACACAATAAAGAAGTAGGGATAGCCGGGCGCTGGTGCCTCTCGCCTGTAATCCTAGCTACTCAGGAGGCTGAGATCTGAGGACCATGTTCAAAGCCAGCCCAGACAGGAAAATCTGTGAGACTCTGATCACCAAAACAGGAAATGGTGTTGTGGCTCAAGTGGTAGAGCACTAGCCTTGAGCTGAAGAGCTGAGGGACAGCCGAGGGACGGGCCCAGAGTTCAAGCCCCACAACCACACACAAAAAAAGAAGAAGGAGGAGGAGGAGAAGAAGGAGGAGGAGGAGGAGGAAGAGGAGGAGGAGGAGGAGGGGAGAAAGAAAACTATCTTGTGAAACATAAGGGGCACTCCATTGTGACAATGGCTGTCAAATTCATTGCTACTTCACTTTTTTCCTCTATATCATTTATTATTTTTTTCTCTGTATAATTTAAAATCAATTCATTCTTTGCCTTGGCTTCATGCTAAGCTGTAGTATCTACAGTGTTACGAACATGAGGGACTTACAATGTCCCTCCCTGGGAGCCACATGGGCCATTAAAATACTGACTTAGGAGGCAGAAGTGACCGGTCTTTGCCTAACTATTCAGGTAAGGGGGAGAGGCCACCTGCAGCACCCCTCCTCTTTAAAGATTCAAACCCCCCAATCCCTCCCACCGCCAGGCTACAGTCTTTCAAGTAGAGGCCTTGACCAACCCTCCACTCCCTTCCCTAACCAGCTGAGAGGCAGGGAAGCCCAAAGAGGGCTTTTGATCACAGCAGGTCCCTGATTACTGTTGATGAATATGCTAATGAGGCACCAACCCTGAACTCCTCCCTCCTTCTCCCACAGCCAGCTTAGCTTGAACTTGACCAGAAACTGGTTCCAGGACCACTTTAGTGGCAGGGAAGGCTAGAGAGGTGTGACCTTGTAAAGCAATCTCAGATCACCTATGCCCTTTTTTTTTTTTTTTTGTCATTCTGAAGAGCCTGGGAGGTTTTCAGTCAACTCAGGAGAGTTGAGAGAGAAAAGCCTTGGCAGAAGAGGGAGGATGCTGAGAAAACAAAATCCCCTGGACCACTCAGCTTATTCTTCCTACCCTTGCACTGCCAGGCCAAATCCTAAACTGGTGGTGATGCTGGCCTGAGCTTTTTCTCCCATGTGGCCCCTCTCCATTGGCAAATATCAGGCAATTTGGGGTCCTGGCTGGACCTAGCAGAAACTCTGGTTCCTGCTAGCCTCCTGAGTCCAGATCTGGGAAGTCTAGTCTAACCCTGAAGCCAAACTTCCTTTGCTGGGCCTCCCTATGTGAGGAGGTGAGAGTAGGGGAGAAAAACTGGTTCCCCTGGGGTCCTGTGACCAGGTATCTGATGCTGAGTGGGAACACAGGCAGGCAGGGGCTGTACCATCTCACACGCCCTGCCAGCTGCCTCCACAGCTCCACCCTCCCTGAGGCAACCTAGAACATTATCCTGCTCCTCTCTCCTACCCTGTACTGCTCAGTGGATAGGAGACACAATCACCATCCTGGACTTACACACATTCATAGGACAGCAATGTCTAGTTTACATCACTGGGACAGGCTCATTATTATGGCCAAACACAAAACAATATTAATGATAGCCCCTTCAGAGCAGGAGGCCTGCATGCAGAATGGGCAAGACCTCCTCTGAACACCTGGGCTGCTCCTTGCTCCAGGCCTGGGAACATCTCCTGTTGATCTGATGCTTATCCTTGCTGGACGTGTGAAGAAATCAAAATCTTTACAGAGTTTGCTCTAAAGACATTCTAGTATTTCCTGTGGACAAGTCACAGAGTGACACAAGGAGCAGCCTAACGGAAGGAAAAGGAAGCAAGGGAAAATACAGGCAGGCTAGACCAGGCCTTCCTTCTCTGATTGCCCCAAGGTTCCTGAATCTCCAACCACAGTAGGCGATGCCAACACCTGTTGAATAGAACTTCAAGCCTCATAGGGAGGAAGGAGAAGAGATTTTTTTCTTCTCTTTTTCCTTTGGGAGCAGCTGATGCTCTGGTAATAAGAAAAGAAAACAAAGGATGGAGAGAAAGAGATGCACTCAAGTGACTTAGGAGATATCCAGTGGTTTGAGTTCTGATGGGCACATCGTGAGCACAGGTGTGTGGGGATACACACCTGTGAGAAGTGAAAAGTGAGGTGCTTGCTGTCTGCTCCCAGACTAGCTTAGAGAGAAGGCTGTGGACAAAGGCCAATGTCTTTGGTTCTGTAGTATCCAAGGTAGAAACTATCCAAGACCACCATTGGAGTGTGTGCGTGTGTGTGTGGGGGGGGGGTATCTCCAAGATGTCTAGTAGTATGTGTTCTTTATTCTTTATCGAAGATAAAGAAGAGAAGCTAACTGAGCAGAAAAGTCTGTGAGATTCTTATTTCCCATGAACCAGCAAAAAGATGGAAATGGAGGTATGGTTCAAGTGGAAAAGTGCCAACCTTAAGCAAAAAGGCCAAGTAAGGACAAGAAGCCCTGAGTCTGAGCCCCAATATTGGCACTGAACAAACAAACAAATTTAAAGTAGAGAGGAAAAAGAGAATCAAGGCAGCCCCTTCCTCCTACAGCTGGGAGAGCAAGTGTTTCTTCTAGGTTCCCCTAGAAGAAGGTTCTGAGACAAAGATTCAAATACCAACAGTTTATTTGGGCAGTGATTCCAGGAAACAGGGATTGGGGAAGACAAGACAGAGACTATCAAGGGTGCATTTTCAAAGTGCTCTCGTGGGACAAACTATGCTCAATCCCCAGAGGAGCTCTGGAGAGATATAGAATGAATGTCTCACCAGAGGGGCAGGAGTCTCATGACTCCAGTCTGTCCCCCCAGTTCTATGATGGCTATTTCTCCAGCACTTCTGGCTCCCCAAACTTCCAACAGCCAGAGAGCATATGGGCAGAGCAAGCTGTGACCTCTTCAACAAGCCCTACAGCAATGGCAAGCAGATTCTTTAATAAAGGTCCTGGAGGAACATGGATTGGGTTCCAACTACTAGACCCCCCCCCCCGCCTGCCCCCACCTGGGCTATGAGGAAGCCAGCCAAGCTATAGCCCCAAGGGCCTGAGTACTGCTTGGCTGATCCAAGTTGTAACAACTGTGAATGAGCATTGGCCCACCCAGCATACGTATTGCTGGAGCCCATAATTCAGAGACATTTCATTCACTTAGCATCATTAGGAAACAAAGCGTACCACATAAGCGCCTTTTTTAAAAAAGATAAATGCATCTGAGTGACAAAAACAGCCACATTAACCACTTTCGTAAGCCTCCAAAATTGAATTACACATTTCCTTACTTTCTTGAAAAGATTGATTTAGACACAATGTTCAAAATGCTTTCCTCTCAACTCTAGAGGATGTTGAGTAGTACGGGGGGGGGGGGTTGTACAAGTACTACAAAACCCAAAGTTGGGATGGAAAAAAAATCACTTTTGTATTTCTACTGTGCTCCACTTGCCCCCTTCCCATTTTCTGTCCTCAGATAAACCAGGAATCTGTGACTCCAGAAATTGTTTTCTGCACACATTTTTTTTGTTGTTGTTGAAAGGAAACCTGACCTGTTTCAAGCATAGATGTGCCCAGGCTTCCTGAGCACTGTGCTGGGAGTCCAGGGTCAGTGGACCCCAAGGATCGCCATGCAGACTGTTTCTACTTCAGAGTACACAGGGATGTATGTGGGGACATAGTGGGGACTACTCTGTCTGGCTGTTATTGTTGACACTGCCCAGCAGGTCCCTGGAGATGCCCAGAGCTCTTTTCCTGGCAATCTGACTCTGCCAAGGCTCTCTAACACAAAGTCTTCCTTGCATCTCTGTTCTCTATTCCTATGTCACACAAATCCTTCATCACATGCTTGCTGTAGATATAAGCAATTTAATAACAACCATGCCAGCCCCTCACCCTCTTCCTGAGGACAAGGTATCCTGGAGCCTCTGCCTTTCCTTCTTCACACCAAATCATTTTCCCCACCCCCCATACCAGGGCTTGAACTCAGTCCTCAAAATAGTTCCAGATGCTTGCTTGGCTGGTATTGTACTACTTGAGCCATGCCTCCAGCCAGGCTCTTTTCTATTTCTTTTGAGATGGAGGCTTGTAGATGTTTCTACTCAGGCTGGCTTCAAACTGTAACTCTGCCTCTTGAGTAGCTAGATGTGAGCTTCCAGTGCCAGCTTCCCACCAAATCTTAACTCTTGCCCATTTTGATAAGCCCAAGTTTCTGAGAAGCACTTTGATCCATTTTCAAGTGTGGACTGCCGAGGTAAGGGCATAAGCCATTGCTGAAGCCATCAGCAATGGAAAGAAGCTCACCACCCCCTCCATCAGGAGGCAAAAGGAGAGAGAGAGAGGAAAAAAACACCTCCTACATCTCATCCCAGGTCTCAGTTTCCCCCAAAGTCTCTCTGCACTAAATCTAGCCTCTCTTCCTGACACTCTGGCATGGTTTCACAAGTCCCCTGTTCCATTCTTCCACATCCTCCATCTCTCTAAGCATCCCATTTGTGCCCACACTGGCCTACAGGCATTCTCTGGGCCCTTGGGACTGTTGATGATCATCACACTGGACTTGGCATTTCTGCTCCCAGCCACCATCTATTGGCTTGGTGCTGCCTAGTCCCTCATATGTTCAGCTAGTGTCTGGTTGTGTCACAGACTAGAGAAAATCATGTCAGTAGCACACCCATCCCAACCATGCAGGTAGAGAAGTGAGGAGGGCCAGGTGGCTAGAGGCAGCTGCACAGCACCTGTATGCACAAGGTTCTAATGACAGAAGAGGACTGGGGTACAGAGGCTCCAGGTACCCTGTTTCTACTTCCCAGTATCTGTCCGAGGCTCAGTGGCCCAGGTCTTGTAGGCTATAGGGTGGGAGAGAGAAAGAGGATTGCTAGCTTGGTCTTCTCTCCCTCGGTTCTACCTCCAGACTGCCTAACCCCCTCCCATTTCTCTTCTGCCCACCCTCTTACCACCTACCCGCAGACCAGGCTGCCAGGTCCCAGGCTGAGGAGCGGCTGGCTATCAATTATTAAAGCAAACAAAAGCATTTCCTAGCAGGGAGGCTGGCCTGTAGCAGCTTACAGGAAAGGCAGCCCCAGCTGGCTTCCCTCTCCCGGGCCCTGCTTGTGTGCTGTGACTAGCTCATGGGAAAAGGCTGGCCAGGGATTCTCTGGGGGTCTCCTGCAGGGAAAGGCCTGGCCTGGGCCTGCCAGAGGTCTCAGTCTGGGAAGCACATCGGGAGAAGACAGCTGCCACTGAGCTGCCCTTAGCAGCACTTGGGACTGCAAGGGAGGCTGGGGAGTGGATTGGGACTGTGCCTGTGGGCCTACGAGATAAAGTCCTATTCAGGGAAGGAGCAGTCAGAACAGTGACTAGGGATCCTTGTGCAGGCTTTGCTGGTAGGGAGACCCTGACAGGGAGATGGAAGCCTTTGCCACCAGCCTTCCTTTCACTGGTGGACAGGGAGAAGAACCCTCTTCTCTCCTAGCTTCTTGCTCAGAACCTTTCTTTCTCTTGGCAATCCTCCCATTCCCAGTTTAACCAAGCCTTCTGAGCCTTTTCCTCCTTACCTGCCTTCTGTTAAACCCTGGCATTTATGAAAAGGCTAAATTATAAGATTAGGGGGAGATAGCTGCTTTGGTGCTTGGTTCTTGGTGCTTACCAAGGTAAAGATGGGGAAGCCAAAGGGAATGGATACCCAGAACTGCCTGAGTGTGTCCTGTGTGCTGTGGACACTGGGATGAATAGACTGCTATCTGTCCTCTGCAGGAAGATGGGAATGGGCAGAGGCGGGGCAGAGCCTGCTCTGTGGTAAGCATTCTTAGGCAGTACTAAGCAGGTGGAGAGCACAGATAGAGCAGGTGCTATGGCGGAGTGGGGGTCTTGAAGGCTGCTAAGATTTTGTTCAGTGGACATATGGGTGCTGAGGGCAGGGGGAGTGATTAAAGCTAGGACTTACTGGCAGTCCTGCTGATTCTCCTACACCGAATGCCACATCTACAGAAGCTGAGAAAGAAGGTTGGCATCAGATTGTGATAAGCATTGACTGGTGACTGTCCAGGAAGAAGTGGGGCAGACAGAGACTGCCGTCTCTGCTTATGGTAAACATCCTTAGGCAGCTATGCACAGTTTCTTGAGGCAGTATGGGGACACAGAGCAGAGGCTTGGGGGTCACTTTCAGTTTAATCAGGGCAGAGATATGATCAGAGAAAAGTACTTTGGAGATTTGGCTTTGATCCATAGTGCAAAGAAGATGGTTTGGGGGAGGGGTGAAAAGCTGGAGTGGGGGCACTAGGCCAGGAGGCTGAGGTCGGAAACCAAGACGCAGTCATCCTTCCAGCTATGAAGGAATGAGCACCGAGACTGGGTCTAGGGCACCTTTAACCAGGTGGCCAAGGGATGAAGGCAAGGAAGACAGCAAAGGCAACTCTGTTCCAAGAAGAACAGGAGAATGAAGCTAGGGAGGTGGTGGTAGGACAGAGATGCTCCTTTTGCAGTTTGGTAATGGGAAGATGTGAGTAAATGACTAGCTAAAGAAGGTTCAAATGGGAGGGATGACAGTGTGGGGAAACATGAGGAGTAATGAGGAGCTTTTCCTCTCTGGAAGCCAGGAAGATAAATGATCAAACATATGGCGGATCCCAGTCTGGGCCTTGAGATAGAGAAAGTTCCTGGACTTGGAGACAAACAGTCCTAGCCTGAAGAAATCTCCCTATTAAAACTACAAACCCCTGGGAGTTCCAGTGAGGCAGCTCTGGAGATCCAGTCCCTACAGACAACACTGTTGGTAGTACAGTCCTAGATGGGGGAGGGGGCCACAGCCTCATCCCCAAAAGCTTCCTGCACCGCACCTGGGCCACAGGGCACCATCTCTTTCACATTCTCATCCAACCTGCTGGCTCTGGGCAGGCACAGAGGGGAAAGGTCAGAGAGAAAAGGGAACATTCAATTTCAGAGACACCACAGCAACTCCTGAGGACCTTCTCAAGTTACAGAAAAAGTCGGAACCAACAGGAAAACAGGCATGACACACAGCCTTGTAAACACAACATAGGAAAAAGCCAGCTAATGGGAAGAAAAGAGGGAAGGAGACACAAGAGAACGCAGACAGTAGTTTGTATAAGATGGGTGGGATTTAGTTTTCCACCGTCCAGTTTTTTTTCTAGAATATAGTTATATCACTCTAAAACTTATGGCCATTCATGCAAGACCCCTTCTTGTCCAGGAGGACTCAGCTCCAGACACTCCCCAGGGCTCTCTCCTGATGGTCATGAAAAGACAAGCTCGCAGAAACAGTTTCAGTGGCGCATGAAGGACCCCGGGTGTCTGTTAACTGGGTGAGGTTGGTGAGCACGATCAGTGGTATCCCTGGACAGGACTGGGTAGTTAGATGTGCCAGACCTAGTCTACCCTGATAGCTCCCTATGAATCCCTTCAAGCTGCTGGACAGCAGTGGCAGACTTTCCGGAAGCCCAGTGCCTACCCTGCCCCAGCAGACTCCGCCCCTCCCTAAAGCCAGTCACACCGAAGTCCCCATAGTGTCTAACCTCCCTACTCTCAAGGCGAGGCTATAAAAAGCTCCAGGTCCCAAGCGCAGTAGGGGCTAAAGTCCATTAACCTTTCAAATTCCCATCCAAATCTCCACCTTGGTCCCGCCTAGAACTCTGAAATAGCGAGCCAGAAGAGATCCGAAAAGACACCTGTCAGAGAGGCGGAGCCCTAGCCCTTTCCCAACCCGTCAGTCCAGCCACGCCGACTGCCCACTGTCTCTTTACCTTCTTCATCCCCCAGCTGTATCTCTGGACCTGCGTGGGAAAGGAGGGGCGTGGGAAAGGAAGAAGGGGGCAGGGTTTCTTGCCTTTCTTGGCAGAAAGCCGTGGAATTGGACAAGCTGAGGAATCGGTACTGCCCAGGAAGGAGGGGTTGGACGTTCCTAGACGGCTGGTAGCTGTGGGTCATGGCTCAGGGTCTGCAGACAGAGGGGATGCTTCCTCCTCCTAAACCCTGGACCGCAGTTGGCGACTGTCAGAAAGCAGAGCCTGAACAGCCCGGAGTGGAGGCAGAAGCCCCGCCCCGGCCCGCCCCAGATGCTCAAGAGACTAGGGCATAGACGCTTGGGACAGGGTGAACTGGAGTGCTCGCCAGGACCGTCCGGAGCTAGGGCTCCCTCTACCCTCCGTTCCAGCACCTCAGCAAGGCTAAGCAAAGGCTCCGAGCGGCTCCGAGCGGTCCGACCCGAGTTCGCGGGCTCCCGTCGAGCGCTTACCTCTGCGCCGCGGTGCTGGAGTCCAGGATGCCGGCGCCCTGCATCCAGGAGCGCACAGAGCCCAGGCCGGCCGGCAGCAGCGGCTCCTCCTTCAGGTTCAGCCCGCCGCGGGGCAGAGCGTCCTGCGCAGGGAACATAAGGACGCGCAGTTGGTGGGCGCCCCCACTGCCCAGGATCGAGTCCCGCCGAGGCTGTGAGTGTCGCAGCTCAGCCGACCCGACGGTACCAGGCGCCTTCCAGGAGCGCAGCGCGGCGCGCGGTCGGGATAGCTCCGTGCGCGCTCGCCTCTGGGGCGCTCCCTCGGAGAAAGCGGGTCCGCGGGCGCCGGCGCTGTCCCCTCCCCTCCTGGGGCGCGGGGCGGGGAGATGGAGGGATTCCCCCGCGGCCTGAGCGCTGGCGGGCGG